ATATTAATATTTCAGTAATAATTTTTCTGCAAAACATTGTTATATTGTGTAGCACATATGCATAGAATTAAAACCTTTGTCTGGAGTTAGTGATATTAGTGTTATTAATCTTGGTTTGATCTGTTATATTAATTTAATGATCCGATGACTTGGCATCTAGTTCAAGTTAAATTAAATTAAATAGGAGTTAATTTAATATAATATAATAAAAATAAATTTCTTTTTATTTTTTTAAAATAATATCATTTTAATTTACTAAAATGATATTATTTTGAATTTATTGAAGCAACCCAATCAACTTATAACCGTGCCTCATATTGTATTTGATATTGAGGTTGCTATTATGGTTATGGTTTTAAATTTTTGTTTTTATAAAGTACTTTTAGTTAGGTTAGTTTGAAAAAATATATATTTGGTTAAAATTGTGATTGAAATTGAGGTTAAATAAAAAAATAGTTTAATATGTTTGGTTAAAAAATATTTTTTAAATTAAAGTTATAAAATAATTAAAAAATATATATTAATATTAATGATTTTTAATTTAAATATTATATATTTAACTACTGTTATTATATCATGAAATAAATAATATTGATATTAAATATTTATTTTATTTCATTAAATTATATACAATATCATCATATATAAAATTTACAATAAAAAATCATGATGTAATTCACTTGTATTGATTTTTCAAAAAAATAACTGTTTACGCAATCCATATAAATAAATTAAAATTCATTTGTATTGTTTACTTTAAGGAATAATACAATAGTGAGGCCATGCTCCACTGTTGTGGTTCCTCCCCCACTAGAAATAACAAGATACTCTTTCTACAACACCTGCGGCACCATCTTTATTTTTAGTGGATCCTACCACCATAAAGCACTTTTTCCTTCTTAACCAAACGTTATTAGTGAGGTTGAGTTTAGTATCTTCGGTCAAGAATGAGGATGCAAGCCTGCTGGACTTTTTAAGAACATCGTGCAGAAAGGGTACTATCCAACAGGATATCTCATGGTACTATCCAACAAGATTAACGAGGAACATAAAAGCTATCAACATTGGTGGCGCCGTGCGGAGTCGTCTGAATAAATATAGGTCTTGCATGATCAACTGATAAAAGCATTGCATCGAGTAGGAAAATTGAAAGAAGAAGCTACAGTAATTATTGCTGATCATCTCTAGAACCCGACCCGAAAATTAGATGGAAGCAATGTGAAAGCCAACATCCCTAGGAACACCATCTTTCAACACTAGAATCCAATTAAGTTATCCAAGATTGAGATTTAATATTAATATTTCAGTAATAATTTTTCTGCAAAACATTGTTATATTGTGTAGCACATATGCATAGAATTAAAACCTTTGTCTGGAGTTAGTGATATTAGTGTTATTAATCTTGGTTTGATCTGTTATATTAATTTAATGATCCGATGACTTGGCATCTAGTTCAAGTTAAATTAAATTAAATAGGAGTTAATTTAATATAATATAATAAAAATAAATTTCTTTTTATTTTTTTAAAATAATATCATTTTAATTTACTAAAATGATATTATTTTGAATTTATTGAAGCAACCCAATCAACTTATAACCGTGCCTCATATTGTATTTGATATTGAGGTTGCTATTATGGTTATGGTTTTAAATTTTTGTTTTTATAAAGTACTTTTAGTTAGGTTAGTTTGAAAAAATATATATTTGGTTAAAATTGTGATTGAAATTGAGGTTAAATAAAAAAATAGTTTAATATGTTTGGTTAAAAAATATTTTTTAAATTAAAGTTATAAAATAATTAAAAAATATATATTAATATTAATGATTTTTAATTTAAATATTATATATTTAACTACTGTTATTA